TTTAATAAAACACCAGTGATTTAGAGGAGAAGTTTGGGATTCTGCAGTTATCTTGAAAAATGTCCTCTCACAAGTTTGAGTTGTTGGATGAGGAGGTGGAGGCTCTCCTGGACCAAGTTGCAGACAAGTTAGAGGTAGGAATTCTCAAATGGTGATTGCAGTTTGTGAATTGTGTTTCTCATGTGAAACTTTTTATGTGTAAAGCTGAATGTTGTGTGAACTTTTGTTTGAAACTTGTAGGTATCAAAATATGAGTATTATGAATTTAAATTAGGAATGTCATTCCAGACATTTATTTACTTGCAAAATTATGTAGATAATATGGCTTGACAATTGAAATATATTGAAATGTATTGTTCAAACACTAAAATATATATCCTGCTCATTTCAGTTTGCCATTGGAAGATGTAAGAGTCAGGAAGAAAGGAAACGTATCTTGTCGGAAATTGAGAGGTCCCTCAATGATGCAAGTGGTTCCCTGCTCGAGATGGATATAGAAGCAAGAAAAGCCCCAGCTGAGTTCCGTGGGACAATGGCAAATAAAGTGCAACGTTACCAAAATGAAGTCACAAGGTAAGGGGTTTTGTAGGTTTTTGTCAGTCTGGAATTTTTTTTCTATATGAATTTTATCCCTATGAATTTCTTTTTTTCTTGTTCCCTAAGGCAAGTTGTCACAATATGAAAAGGTTGGTTATGTATGAAGGAATGTGAGTCATTTGATTTTTCCTTATTCATACTTTTTGCTTTGCTGCAGGTACCAGGGTCGCCTAGAGCAAGAGAGGTCCTCACAGATGGCAACGAGAGCAGCTCTCTTCAGTAACTCAGACAGTAATGACAACTTTGACAATGAAATTCGAAGACAGGTGAGCATGCCCTATCTTGACTTAAGAATTAGTCTATATGTAGAGAGTTGTTCTTATATAGGGTGAGTTATTCTTGTGTCTAGCACCAAGAATATATTATATAAAAGGTTACTAATGGGGTCTGTTTCTGCCTTAAAGGTACAACAAGGCACTGCCATCCTGGAACGCACATCAGCCAGTATTGCACGTTCCACTGCCATTGCAGTGGAAACAGAGAGAGTGGGGACAGATGTCCTAGGGGAGCTGGGCACACAAAGGGAGACGCTCACACGCACGAGAGACAGACTCATAGACACAGATGCGGAACTGAGCCGAAGCAAAAGGATTATCCGGTCCATGTCACGTAATGTCTTATACAACAAGATTCTTTTGATTCTTATCATTATTCTGGAATGTTGCATACTAGGTGCAGTGATTTACTGGAAGTTCTTCATGAAATGAATACGGACTAAAGTAGTGACTGCCATCTCACCTTCCTCTTACAGTATCAGCTTACTATCAGATAAAGAAATATGCATCTTAGGTTTTGATAAGCAACTTATATAGAAGTGCTATATTTCTTTAATTTCTTTTTATTCCCTTGATAATGGACTGGCAACGAGTCAATTGCCTTGTCTGTCCTCACAAAAATCACTTAGTCATTCCAACACAGCCATTACTCCTTTATCCAAAGGAGTCGTGGTTCTTGCCTCTTCTGCCTTTTCCCAAAGAACAACAGCCTGAGTGTAAGTGTACAGTGTACAGGCTTTGTACTTCTGTGTTGTTTACCAAAACTTGTCATGGTTATAAGTTTCTTTTGATACGTGTATATGCTTTGTTGATGTTTAACAGTAATTTTTTCTTTCTCTTCTTTCCCCCTCCCTCACCTTTTTTGAAAATATCTTTTTGCTTAATATTTGTAAGATTCAAAGAAATCACAGTTTGCATGGTTGTTATTTGTTGTATTGTATTCCCAAAGATTTATCATATAGCTATACCATTCAGTTTCTTGGAACAAACACATATTTATGAGACTTTAAATGCATGTAGATTGCAATCAAAAGTGATTAACTGGTTATGGATAGTATTTTATACCAATCATTTTTTGATGTAAGGAGTTTTGTAGGCCCTTATTATTTATATAGAAGATTCTCAGAATGTCTCATATATTGTATAGAGTTAAGATTTAGAGTGAAGACTGAAGAAAACGTGCATTACTTTAATCAGATAGCCAGTAAACTTAATTTTGCTATTTTTTATTAATTTCTGGCAGTGTATAGGTATTTCACTACCATGATCTAAGCTTTCTCAGGTGGCTTGCAAGTGATGCCATGGTCTTTCTCAGTCCTTTTGGGTCATGCAAAGGAATATTTACTAGCCCTTTTTTATTCCTCTCGAAAGTAAATTTCATACTGGCATGGAATTATAAGCTTTTTGTTGCTCTAGGATTTCCACAGTAGGATTTTTGCCATCTCTAGGTTGCCACTTGCTGTCAGTGGACAAGTAACAGTGGCATAATAAGGGGGTTCACTGGACTTGGGATTTGTATCTCTCAATTCCTGTCTCCTGTAATCTCTCTCTTCCTTTCTCCTGTAATCTCTCTCTTTCCCTCACTCAGTTCAAATACTGTTATTTAGTGCTGGCAACTAACCTAGGCATTGTTAGTAATATTTGTATGGAAAATAGTATAGTGGTATTCTAATTTGCATTCAACAGAAATCAATATTAGACGATTCAGTATAACTGTGAGTAATGTGGTGATCCCCCTTTTTTTCTCTGAGAGAGAACACTCTGAAATTATCTTGGATGCAAAGATGTCTTGTTCATTATTTTAATATTATATGTCAGTGATTACATCAGGATTGGTTGTCAAATATAGCTAAAACTGTAGAAAACAAATGTAGAAAAATGCTATTATATTAAGCACATCATAGACTCTTTTAACCTGATAATAATGGAGAGGTCATACACAATGCCTTTGATATTGCTAAAATGTTATATTTTGAACCCTTTCTTGCAGGAAATAAGATACTAAAACATTCCAAATAGACATGTCCAATTTTGGGGTTTTGCTTTTTTTTTCATAAATGATTTTCAGATTTTTTTCCCTTTATAATGATTCTGGCCATGCAAGTCCATTTGTATACAGTTAGGCACAGTTATTTATGGGAAAAGTACTGAACTATGACAGCATGTAGTATAAAGTAAAAAGTATTTTCCTCTTATGAATATGTGTCATTAAATGTTTTTTATGTGATATAAGTAAACCACTAATTTTCCATAATTCTACATTGCTTTTAATCCAGACAATATCAGAAGCAAACTAATTTTCCACAACTGTCAGATTTATTCAATGAGTGAACAACATGGCATTAAGTGAGGTGCTAGATCAGTTAATTGTTTACACTACAGTAATTGATATAAGAGGAATATTTAATTATTTTTTTATTGTATGACTTCTGTTCTGGAATGTTAAAGGGGTCTTAAAAATAATTGTGATGTACCAACTCTTAGTGATTATATTTTGTTTCCTTGTTGTCTGAGCTGGGAAAAGTGAAATGATTTATATGAAATCTGTTACATAGTTACATAGCTTGTATATGGAATCCATTTTCTAGCATTTGTGGTATAGACTTTTGTTAACTTTTTACATTCTCAATTTGTTTAAGCAAAACTTTGTTAACAGCTTTTTTTTTACTCTTTCCCTCATCCAAATAGCTCTTTTTTTTTCTTTTTTTGTATAATGAAGTAATATAATATGATAATATTGATTATGACAAACTTTTATTTTCTGTTGACACTAGTCATAGATTGGCTCATAATATTGTGCATGGAATGTGAGATGAATAAGATATTATGTGGCTAATCCCTAAAGTTTCCCATTCTGACATTTACTAATGTAAACTTTTTTTCTACGGGATTATAGTCCACAACTAGCGTACAGACACAGAAGTGGTTCTTATTGTGGGTGTATTTAATCAGCATATAACATCTAAGGCTGACAAGATATAGAAAAGCATTAGATTATGGGTTATGACATGATTTTGCTATCAAAGTTTGTAACTAATGGATAATAGCTTCTAAGGTGTGTCAACTGGATGAAAAACCTTACAGCTGTAATTATGTCTAGTTCTTGTTTATCTTTGGGTGTTATTGAAATTTTATGAAGAAAGGAGTTTGGTTTATAGATTTCTGATGTTTTTTTGTGTAGTTGCATAGGAGCCTCAATTTAAGTGTAATCTTGTATACAATATTTATCATTTTTTAATAGCAATCACCTGTTTTGGTATATTTATAAAAAAAAAGACTTTTAATACATACTCAACAACTATAAGATTGTGGAAAAAATATATATAAATAAACAATGATTTTAATTTTCTTTCATTTCCCAGCTTTGGGTTAAATATATCAGGTATATTATACTCAAACAATGGAGAAGTATTTTATTGCCATCAGTGAGAGTAAATTTTCTGTTTTTTCTTATTTCTCCTTCTTTGGAATATCTTTTTGATAGAAGTAAAGAATATATGGAAACCATTTTTGAAAATAAAAAATGGTTTTCAAGGGTAACAATACAATAAAACAAAATAAAATAAGATAACAGAAAACCAGAATGAAAAACAATAAAATTAATATATTAGTGATCAAAATAATGCAAAAGAAAATACAGAGAAAACTATCAACCTTGAAACAGCGAGGCTAATCACTGTGAAGACCAATTCTAGCATCAGCACATTGCTACAAATATCAAACCAAAAAAAAAAAACAAAAAAAAAAAAGCAACAACAACAACACTATCAACAGCAGCATTAGCCTCTTCAAACACAACCCAGCATAACCTTCTTGCGCTCTTCAAATAACCTGTTTGATCTGTCGTTGTTTAAGCTTCATTTTGAGGTGATGAATGCGCAGGTCTATCTCACTCAAGGAGATCTGGAAAGGAAGTTAAGTCGCGTGAGAAGAGGATTATTATCACTATGATCAATTATTACTATTGCTACCACAATATTATTAATATTATCACTGTTGTAGATATTATTTTTATTATCATTGTCATTACTGTTATTATTATTTTTTATTATCATCATCATTACTGTTGTTATTATTATTTTTATTATTATATATATATTTTTTTCACTATTAATATTATCATCATTATTATAATTTTTATTATTTTTTTTAATCATTACTATTATTATTATTATCATTACCATTACCATTATTATTATCATTATTATTATAAATATCTTTCTTCTTCTGAGTCTGAGTCTTCTTTTTATTATTATTATTATTATTATTATTATTATTATTATTATTATTATTATTATTATTATTATTGTTATTATTATTATTGTTATTATTATTATTGTTATTATTATTATTGTTATTATTATTATTATTGTTATTATTATTATTATTATTATTATTATTATTATTACTATTATCATTAATATTAATAGTACTATTATTATCACTATTATTATTACTATTATCATTAATATTAATAGTACTATTATTATCACCATTATCATTATAATTGTCATCTACATCATCATTATCAGTATCAATATCATTACTACAATTATTAATATTGTTGTTGACATTATTACTATTAGCTTTTTTTTTTACTCTGTCCCAGGTGAGTTTAATAAATTTTGTTTATACTATGCTTTTACTTATTCTGAGATTTTTTTCATTATTCAATATTTCCCTTGTGAATTTTTATTTGGCATTTTTTGTTGAATGACACTGATGAAGGAAATTTATGTCATAGAGAAATCATTTTAGAAAAGAATGGATAGTGTTGCTTCATTATTTTTGTTGCTGTCATAATTATTATCATGATTATCATCAAGAATACAATAAACATTTTACATAAAAATTACTTTAATGACATTTAATTTTTCAAATTTATTATCATTATCATCATTATTATCATTATTATTTCTATTATTATTACTATTATCAATATTATTATTATCATAATAATAATAATAATAATAATAATAATAATAATAATAATAATAATAATAATATTCTTCTTAAAAGTACTGACATCATTATCATTACTACTACTACTTACATCATCTTCCACTGCTTTAATTTCCTTTTTATATGACTGCTTCTCTGGGATTTTTATTTTCTGAAATGAGAGTACGAAGAGGATTAATATCAACATTAGTTATATACATAAAAAAGAACCTTCACATATCTAGGCTCAGACTACTGCAAAACCTACTATTTCTCTCATTAATTTCTTCGAGGGGGGAGGGGGAGGGGGAGGGGGAGGGGGAGGGGGAGGGGGACAGGGAGAGGGAGAGGGAGAGGGAGAGGGAGGAGAAGGAGAAGGAGGAGAAGGAGAGGAAGAGGGAGAGTGCATTCATGAAACAAACATCAATAAAAGTTCTAACCTAATCTCTAAGCCTGCCAGCAAACAAAGGTCACATACACAAGAATGACCTGACACCATGAGCCATATACTTGAAAACCTTGTTTCTGACACGAAAAAACAATTAGCAAGCAAAGACAAAGGCCGAGACTGACCTTGTCTCCGAAGTATTCTGGAGAAATTCCCTCGAGGTGGAGAAGGCGATCCTCCACAGCCTTGAGTCGGGTATAGATGTCTCGTGGCACAGGACCTCCCGGAAGAATTTTGAGGTGCGACTCGACGTTGTGTAGTCGTTCCTCGATGCCTGAGTGGAAGATAGAGAAGTTAGAAACGAAAAAGAGAGATTTTTTTTTTCCCAGTTATAGCTTTCTTTTTGCTATCCCTATGTTACTCCTCTGTTTGTAATTTCATTTAACCCAAGAGCGTGTGTATACATTCATTGTTCTTCATATTTTTATTTAGTATATTTGGTTTACACATAGATGGCTCCAAAAGTGCTTAGTCACCAAGGAGTCATTGCTAGGCCTACCTGATCTGACCTCTTTACCTGTTTTTATTACCCTTATTGTTATTAGCAAAATCAAATAAATACTAATGTTAATAGTAATAAACAGCAGCAGTAATCAACTTGATGGTTAGTGATTGTGGAGCCATTTGTGTGTAAAATAAACTAAAATGAAATTTGTAATGGACAGGGCTTGTACCCAGTGCCAGTGGGTTCAAAGACAAAGTTAAAGTAAACTTAATGTCATTAGGGATCAAAATGTAAGACAAAGATGTATGGTATTTCAGTCATGTGATGAAAACCATAGTCCATAACAGTATCACTATACATACATTTCTTTGTAAATTATTATTACTAAACAGAAGCTGAAATTTACACTATTTTGTACTGCTTAAAGTAGAAAACAAAAAATCATACTAGCATATATTTCCTAAAGTTCATCTATACAATGATGGCATTTTCAGCTCTCAATTCTTCATACCTTCTGGCAACACTCCTTGCTGATCTATACAATTTGCTTTGCACTGTACTGACTCAGAATTATTTTCTTGTTTGATGTTGCAGCCTGTCTCTTGCAAGTTTTCAGTGCTACTTCCATGGGATCTTATCATTCCTGTAACATTCACATTCTAATTAAAATATTGCAGAGAAAACCTGATGATCTGTGCATAATACCACCTTAACAAATATTCATCATTCAAGCAACAAAATACCTGTATACATTGTAAGTAATATATGAATAAAGGTCATTCCAATGATTAAATACAAATCAAACCTTTTTGTTCCTCCTTCACTGACACCACACCAATGGGCTTTGAGCCTGGATCGATGCCCCTAGTCTGCGGACCCCATTCATTCACTACTTTGGTCACTGTGGGGAAAAAAGACTGAATGCAACATGTGTTTGGACATATTTTCATAATCTCTCTCTCTCTCTCTCTCTCTCTTTCTTTCTCTCTTTCTTTCTTTCTGTGTGTGTGTGTGTGTGTGTGTGTGTGTGTGTATGTGTGTGTGTGTGTGTGTGTGTGTGTGTGTGTGTGTGTGTGTGTGTGTGTGTGTGTGTGTGTGTGTGTGTGTGTGTGTGTGTGTGTGTGTGTGTGTGTGTGTGGGTGCGTGCATGCATGTGTGTGTGTGTGTGTGTGAGAGAGAGAGAGAGAGAGAATTCCAGTAATACATAGGTATCTTATCAAACTGTCAAAAGTCATCAAAAGCTATCCCATTTTAACCCATTCATGACAGGATGTCACGTATCTGTGACATGCCCACTGTGAGTTTACTTGTTTGATTGTTTTTAACACATAGATGGCTACACTTGTACTAAAACACCAATGAGCCAATTACAAGTACTGCCTGTCTCGCCCGTTTACCCTTTTCTTTATTTTACGAAAATATTTTATATTTAAATATTTATCTTATTTTGCTGTTTCTAATGTTTATAATATTATAGTAATTATAATGTTTATAATAAAAATAACACCAACGATATTCATAGCACTAGTAAAAAATACATTTTCCCGCCAATTCAAGTAAAGGTGAAATCAGGTAAGGCAGATCCATCTATGTGTAGAGACATTTCGCAAAAAAATATAAAAAATGAGCTCAGCTTTTTCCCCATTTTTTGTTCATTTTCCCCGTTGTGAATGGGTTAAGGCAAGAAGTAATAAAAAAAAATATATATAACCGAAAACCTGATAACACATAAAACAAGCAACTAAATTCTTTGTCCTTACACTTCAAATGACTATTAGAATCCTTTGACCTATGAACAACAGCTGAAGTTCGAGCGCAAGAACTCATAGTTGAGGCACCTCCTGACAATGTGCAAAATTCTTGTACATTTAAGACATCTAGTTCCTGGCGTTTGCGTTGTTGAAAGGCTGCAATTCTTCGATCCAGCTGAGGAAAAATTATACCAGAAAACAGCATATTATTCAACAATACTGATAAAACCATCACTACATATGTGAACATATCAGTAGTAATTTCATAATATCCTTTCCATGGAAAATAAGTGTTTTGAAAATCTCTTCAGAAGAAACTGGTGCATATTTTGTAGAGGAGAAAGACATACTTTTTACTTCTGGTGTAAAACTACCAGAAATGGAAACAAAAATCACTGACACACGCAAAGGAACATGACAATTGATTCCACTCACTTCTTTCTTAGGGACAACAATCTGTACATAAGATGGATCAATTTTCCTCTCACTTTCATGGTGTTCTGGTTCACACTTTACTTTGCTTGTATTGCAGCTTGAGTCTTGGTCTTGATTGCAATGTTCCAATGACTTTGCTTCATCAGAAAGTTCTGTTTTGATTTTTTTCACAGGTTGTGAACATGTGTTGTCATTGTCATCTAATGCTCCTGAAAAAAAGTGAGATCAAATCTATGATACAACAAGAAATGAAATGAAATCAGAGAAACACAAAATAAAATGTGTGAAATGCTACACAATTAAATCTGTGAGACATAATATGGT